GATAAAGAAGTGATAAATAAAATACTTGGTTAAATAAAAATCACTGAAGGCTATACATAATATTACAAGCAAACAAAATAAAAATAAATATAGTAATATAATTTTTTTACATATGCCAAGAAAGACGGACACATTTAGTTAATTTCATTGCAAATAAATTACTTTTTTGGTATAACGACGAACACATAATATGGTGTTGAAACATATTCTGTTAAACTATTTTAGTAAATGGTTTTAAAAACAAGTCATTTTTTTATTAACATTAACTACAATAAACCATTTGATAAAAATATGATGAACGTAGGTGCGATTAGTAAATAAATCATCCAAAAAAATGGATAATAGATATTTTCATTAGAAGCATCAGTGGAGTTTAATAATAGGGTACATGCGGAAGGACTTTTAATTTGTCAGTAACCTCAGTTAAGCGCTTCTGGTGAACTGTATGCCATTACAAAATCCTCGTGTTTAAGGTCTGTTTGCATTAAAAATCAGTGATTTCCACTGGCTGAGTGACATTGATGCTGTAAACAGAACTGTGTAAAATGGAAAAGTCACATTAACCGTTCACTAGAAATTTATCAGTATGGGAAAAACACTTGCTCCACATATATGCCCTATTACACAAAGTTTTTTTTTTATTATTGTTGTATGGCTTTCATAATAAAAATATCAGACATTGCTATAATAATAATAATAATAATAATAATAATAATAATAATATCACAATACTGCAAAACTATAATAAAACAAACAAATAAATACTTTAATCAATTTCAATAATATAATCATTGTTGTTCACCAAGACTGAAATCAGTTGGTTATTGCATTACAAACTAAAATAAAAACTAAAAATACATGTTAAATATATATATATATATATATATATATATATATATATATATATATAACATGTATTTTTAGTTTTTATTTATAATTTTTATTTGTTTTAACATGTATTTTTAACTCATTTATTTTCACTTTTTAAAAGCAAATTACATCTACTTAGTCTAACGTGTTCATTCTGTTGACATCGTATAAGAAAAAGGAACCAATTTTCATATGCATATGTATTTTGTTTGTCTGTGCTATAGAATAGCCTTCGGTGAGTCACAGTTGTTGTCCTGATTTGCATTATTTATATCTTATTTAATAATTTTTGTATTTGCTTTTCTTGCTTCATGCGGACAAAACAACATATAATAACAAAAACAAAGCTTTATGTTTTGTTCATTAATTTAAAAAGCATATTTAAACAATATTATACACTCAAAATGTTTTATTATTATTATATCGTTACTACTACTACTACTACTAATCATGGTTTTGTTTATTGATATGGTTATTTGCACACTAAGCACTACATTTGTTGAAGACATTAACAAAACAACATCTAGGAAGAAAGTAAAAGGTTCATGGGAAATCATTCGATAAATCGATTCACACTTTGAATTGTAATATTTTGTAATTCGTTATTAATAATTGATCTTCAACTACAGATGCTGTTTATGCAGCCTTCACTGAGAAACATCTCAAACTTTGTATAATTCAATTAAAAACTATATAAGGAACATACAATATTTTATAAACGATACATATTAAAATGGTTGAAGTCTTTTAAATAAATGGTAAACATATGCTCAAATATAAATATAAAAAATGTTTAATATTTATTTTTTTGCCATTTTATTTGTTGATACTTATATACAGAATGAAAAAGGTAAAATGCATTTAAACATTAAATGTCCACCTACAGTTGAAGTCAGAATTTTTTGCCCCCCTTAGAATTGTTATTTCTTTTTAAAGAAATTCTCAAATGATGATTAACAGAGCAAGGAAGGAAATTTTCACAGTATGTCTGATATTTTTTCTTCTGGAGAAAGTCTTATTTGTTTTATTTCGGCTAGCAGTTTTTAAAAACCATTTTAAGGTCAAAATTATTAGCCCCTTTAATCTATTTTTTTTTTCAATAGACCACAGAACAAACCATTGTAATACAATAACTTGCCTAATTACCCTAACCTGCCTAGTTAACCTAATTAACCTTGTTAAGCCGTTAAATGTCACAGTAAGCTGTATAGAAGTGTCTTGAAAAACATCTAGAAAAATATTATGTACTGTCATCATGGCAAAGATAAAATAAATGAGTTATTAGAGATAAGTTATTAAAACTGGTGTTTAGAAATGTGTCGGAAAATCTCTGTTAAACAGAAATTGGGGGAAAAAAAATAAACATTCTGACTTCAACAGTATTTTTAAAATAAAATACAAAATGCATGAATAAAGTTACAAGTTTGATTATCAACTACATTTATGTAGCCTTCAATAAAATTAGCATTTTTATATCCTTATACTTCATTTATCATAAAGTTGCCTCGTATATAGAACCCTTTTAGTAATATGTTGATACAACAACATCAAATAGACACAATATTTTAAAAACAACACATTAAAGCTTTAATTTATTAGAATAAGTAGTAAAGCTTATTGAACAATTAAAAAAAATCTAAATATGTCTGATATTAGCATTATTGTTCTTGTGATTTTATTTCTTGAAACTGTTACCAGCACACTAAAAAACTAATTATTATAACCCAAAGCACTACAAAATGCTACAGGCTGACTGGAATACATTTGATAAGACTTTTAAGATTACAAAATAATTATAAAGATATTTTTGCCAAAACCAAATATTAGTTTGAATGGGAAAATGCATACTATGTAAATAAACTAGATTACAGCGAGATCTGTTCTTTATTTATTAGTTATTGGCATCCATCGCAGGGTTTAAAAATATTAATAAGGTAAACAGTTTATAATGCAATATGCTCATAAAAATTACTTTAGCTTCTTGTTCAAGCTGCTCATTTAAAATGAGTTGAAACAACACAATCGGGTTGTGTTCAATCCACTTGTAAAAGTTATTTAGTTAAATAATCGATTTGTGTTAGGACTAGGCTTGGGTCACGGTAAGATTATGACAGTATGATACTATTGGATAAAAATATCACAGAAGTATTACAGTATTGCGATTAGAGCTCGAAAATATATTCTTTTAGAATGCTGGAGATAAAAATTAAAACTTTTCTTCCCATTTGAACACAATACACCTTGTTTTTTGAAAGATTTCTAATCTTTTGGAGCAGTAAACATGTCAGGCTAAATAATTCAAATGAATCAGACTTCTGCTGTATTCACTAGTTTCTATTACACAGATTTCTTTACAATTTAAAAGGCCATCATTGGATATTTTTTTCTGTTGAAGGCACTGCTGTCTTAAAAAACAAACTAAAAGTGAAAAAAAAAATCTTACACATACCATGGGAACGGCTTTACAGCAGATTTTGGCGGTTTTAAACTTGACTTTTCTAAACCATGGTATACCTTAAAAAAAGATTATCGTCCCATAACCTATTTATAGGGACAAGTAGGGATTGTGTGGATCCCAAACTTTTTTTAAAGTGTATGCACATGTACACATATTCCCTGCATTACATTCACACAAACAAAGCATTATATGTAGTGTTTTCCACAGAAACAGATTGGGTACAGTATATCCTCCTGAAGGAGGCCTGAGCTTGACAGACTTACAGTATTTTAACTTTGGCTGTCAATCACAGAGCTGCTACCCGAGTCAGACAGTCATGGGTCAGTCAGTCAGTCAGTCACCCTTGCCCCACCCCCACCGGTAACCCACATATTCACCCAAAAACTGACCAATCATAGGACACAAAACTCGGCGTCCACATGTCGAGCGCCTACTGGTAAAACAGAGAACTAGTCTTGCAGTTCAACCACAATACACATCTGACTGTCAACTTTTTACTTTACACTCCAACAAACACCAAAGTGAGTATAACTTAAAAACAAAATAAACAATAATAATACAAAACACACATAAAGAGCAAGAGAATGATTTATAAAAGGCAACCAAAATGACCTTGGAGCTTTTGCTTCGCTATAAAATATTTTTATTTATTAGTACTCAAATTAAACAAAGGATTACATTATAGACGATCTGATGATGAACAGTGTTCATAATATTTATATAAATAATCTTTTTAATAATAACAACCACGATAAACAACGTCCTCAATCCGGGTGTTTTCCGATGGTTAATAATACTGGTATTCATTCAATATGAACAACATATTTTTGTCAACTTCCGATTGCCACATACATAAAGGTCTCATATATCAAGACAAAAAAACGTAAGCTAGTGCTGCTATATAGCTAAGCAGACCTAGCAAACACGAATGATATTGTATTAATAATAAATAAACCAATAAAAAAATAAACAATATTAGCCTACATTAATCCAAAATAACACCGCAGGCTCGGTAAACAATAAGCTTAACGAAATAACTTCGTAATCTCAAATAAAAATCAGCAGCTCCACCAAGTTTACCTCTTCCTAGAAGTTTCATTACCACGTCATTTTCAATATCGTGCTTAAAACTGGCGAGATGAAATCGATTTCATCGAGATAAAGAAGTCGACGGATCGAGAAATAAACGCAATGCTTTCCCTTTAAATTCGCGGGCTTTATTAGCGTCGCATTTATTAGAAAAATAAACAGAAATCTGTTTGAGAAATGTGGGGGTGGGGGTAAGAGGGAGAATCTATGTAGTCAACACGACACACAAAGAAATTAATCATTAACGTGGGGGAAATCGAAATATTAAACGCACGCGTTCTTGATATTGGGCTAAATCTTTACACAAAACGCGACAAGGAAAATTCGGACGCGTCAGAAACGCCACAAATAAAAGTTTCTCGCCAATATAGACAAGGCAATATTTCCAAGCGTTCGCCTGGCTTGATTGGAGAGGAATCAATTCGGCATTTTAAGCGAAGTTCAAATATTACGACGTGTCGAGGGAGCATCTGCTGCAAAATAAACACGCTTGTAACTAAAAACAAAGGGGCAAATTTAGAGCTCGCGCGCCGGAGCCCCGAGCCGCAACAAAGTAACAGTTTAAAGTTGTAATTCAGTTTACCTGTATCGTACTCTGCTCCATTGCAACTCTACATTCCCTTATCCCTCTCGATGCCCCCTATCAAGTTACACAGCCGGGTACTAACAGCACCGGCACACACATAAACGTAGCTGAAGAAAAGCTTGTGCTTTTTTGTGAAAATAGGGCAGGATCTAGGTGTGGCTTAACTCCGTTTGCCAAAAGAACTTTAATATATGTTATGTATCGCGCACTAAATTGCCTGTTTAAACACGCTCGCCGCTTAATTTCACCCGGTGACTGACAGTGATCGTTAAATGCAGCACTATTTCAATATGGAGCCTTGAAATCCCTATTTCAAGACAATATATATTTAAGTGCGGTACAGAGCATGCGTACTCTGCTTCAGCGAAACTGCTGATTTTTGACCACGTAAAACAAATACTTCGGCTTCTTAACAATTTTAATGATTGCCTTGGCGTGAAATGTTTCAAATTAAGCATCATATATTGATTTTAAAAAGCACAATAGCTGCTGTGATATATAATGCTTGTCTGTCGTATATATAGGGGAGATTTGGTTGTTTTTAGTCTTGTTGGCCATCACGGTCGACTGACGGTCGTCTGAATGAGATTGCGTTTCTAAATGTTAAGTAGATATGAAGATATTTTAATAATGAACAATATAAAATGAGCTATTTTTGTTCTCCAGCAGGGGGAGTGCGCACGTGATCATTTTCACGAGACAATGGCTGTGACATTTTATTAATTTTTATTTTTTTGCTCTTGCTGACATCAGAAACCTGAAATGCATGGAAATATGGTCGACTCGAGGTTGTTTACGCTGTAGAACTGCCAAACATCTTTAGGATTGTACATGATTATATAGTATTATTTAACAAATGGATATTGGATGAAGGAGCTCAACTCATTTTTGAAGGGAAAGGGAAACATATTCAATTGCAAAAACACACACTACATTTTTTTTTAGCTAATTTGTTATTGTGTATTGAGGAATAATTGATCAAAATAAATAACAATGCTATTAGTTTTGAACATGAGCTTCATATATTAATTTTAATATTGATTCTTTCATTTGAAAACCTTAATAAAATAAAATTTTATTAAAACTAATGAAGTTCAGGGTGAGTGTGTACATGATAATTCTCTTGAAATAACAGATGTCGTTTTTTTTCAGCCTTTTCCAAGGGTTTATTTTATTTTTTAAAACCTTTATAACATAAAATAATCAATATTAAAATTATTATATGAAGTTTATTTGAAAGTCTGATAAGCTGTTTATAATTTTTATAATACACCTAATAGTTTATTTTGCAAAAAACAAAAACATGATTGGTCAAAAAATAATAGACATTTAGTCAGTTTTGGAAATTAACTTAATAAATTTTTTAATAGTTTATATTATTCAAAATAAAATAATCACTATTAAAATGAATATATTAAATTTATTTGCAAAATTGATCAAATTTGCGTTGTTTCTCAGAATTCATGTATTTTTTTCTCATGCATTGAAAAATTTATTTGCAAAAATAAAAAATAAATAAATAATAATGTTTAATGTTAAATAAAAATGTTTTGCAAAATAATTTCTTATAAATGTTGAATGTAGATTTTTATATAAAACCAAAATAAAACTGTTTTTCATATAAAACATAAACAAATAAACAACACATTTTTTTACATAAATAAAACATTGTTATTAATTTTCACAAATCATGTTTTCTGTTATCGTGCATAAAAGATTTCTTTAGCAAAACCCAATTGATCAAAATTAATAATTAATAAAAATATTTTGACGTAAGGTAAACTTTATTGTCCCATGTCAGGAAAGTTAGTCTTGTGTCTATTACCCTTGCTGCAGTTATACAAATTAAGAGTTTCAAACTGCACACAATTGAAAAAAAAAAAAAAAAAAAAAAAAAAAAATATATATATATATATATATATATATATACACACACACACACACACACACACATAAAAGTGATCTTACTGAACATATATACAGGAGCCTGATAAAAATGCTCATTTTAGAGGAAATTATATACTTATTATTAACTTGAATTAATTACCTTTAGAAATTAGGTCAAATTAGAACAAATTATCTATCAGTATACAAATTAGCTTACATGTAATAATTTTAATAAATTGCTATAACAATTAATTTTTTTGTTATTAAAATATTATTTTTGTATTTTGTTTTATTTCATTTTTGGAACTGATATAGTTTGTTATTCGTCCTCCCCCGTGATCTTCACCCTGTGCTTGTGGCAGAACAAATGTTGAGGTCCATCAGAGACAGCAGGACGTCACACTACAGCTGCTCACTGTCCCTGCGTTTACATTTGCACTTCTGCTTTTATTATTGCGGATGGCGGTCGAAGATCTAGTGAATCTTATGAAACTAGAAATAGCTTTGATTTGGTGAACCTTCAACCACCCAAATTCATTTTAGGAATAATTTTACAATGTCATTTGAATAAAATGATCTTAAATGTATTCATATATTTATTTATTTTTGTTAAAAGACATAGATTCACTATTTTCTGATACATTAAAATTAATAAATTAATAAATAGGTTTTTGGATAAAGGTACACCAGCGTATTTGTTTGTAATCTATTTTTTAATTACTTTAATAACAATAAAATGTTTTATTAATAGCAATATTGTTGTTTATATACAGTCAAAGTCATAATTATTAGCCCCTCGTTTTTTCCCCTATCTCTGTTTAACAAAACTATTTTAAAATAATTTATTATTATTAAAATAATAGTTTTCAACACATTTCTCAACAAAATAGTTTTAATAAACTCATTTCTAATAACTGATTGATTTTTTCTTTGTCATGATGACAGTTAATGATATTTGACTATATATTTTTCAAGACTCTTCTTTACAACTTAAAGTGACATTTAAATGCTTAACCAGGTTAACTAGGTTAGGGTAATAAGGCAAGGTATTGTATAACGATGGTTTGTACTGTAGACTATCGAAAAAAATACAGCTTCAAGGGGCTAATAATTTTAACCTTTAAATGGCTTTTTTAAAAATTAAAAACTGCATTTATTCTAGCCGAAATAAAACAAATAAGACTTTCTCCTGAATAAAAAAAATATCACCAGACTTACTGTGAAAACTGTCTGACTCTTATTTGTGAAATATTTAAAAAATGAATTGTGGGAAAAATCTAATAAAATAGTTATACAATATTAATCTGCAGTTAAAACAAAAGTCTTACTGGAATGTATTTAAACTTAGTAAAATTGGATCAATCTTTATATTCATTTTTGAGACACCCATTTCATTAAAAAAACATGGGTAAAATTTTTAAACAATTAATATATTTTTAAAGAATAAAACAAATATTAACTGCTAACTCAGACAAACACCTACTTTGTTATAATTAATAACATTGAAAACTATAATTTAGTTATACGCTCACAATATTAATAGGAATATATTTGAACATAGAAAATTACAAAGTAATAGAAAAAAGCATTATTGTTTTTATATTACTAATAAAATCATATTAATACTGCTTTCATTTAGCCTACACTCTCAGAAATAAAGATATGCAAACTGTCACTGGGGTGGTACCTTTTCAAATGGTGCACATTTGTACTTAAGGGGGCCATAATGGTACCTCAAAATTATATAATATAGTACCTACAATTTTTAAAGGAACACTTTTGTACTTTTTAAGGTACTAATATGTTCCCTTGAGGTATTAATATGGACCTTTCAGGTACAAATGTGTACCATTTGAAAAAGTACCACCCCAGTGACAGCTTACGTAGGCCCTACCTTTATTTCGGAGAGTACAACAATCATATACTCATATTATTACTGATAATAATAAAACGAGAGCAATAAAGGCCTTGTATATATTGAGGAATTGAATAATTCCAATGGATTTATACTTTGCTAAAATTATAATAAACAGGCTACGTAAAACATTTTAAAGGATTAATGAATTGTGACATTAGGCTCTCAGTCAAGGTCAGATGTTTGTTATTTTGCGCATGCTCTAAATATCAGCACCGATGCTCAAATACCCAATGTAGTCGTGTGATTATAAGTATACTTTAATAACATTAAAAGTTAAAAATCTGATTGGAGTTTGCATTTTTATTCTAAAAGTAAAATGGCTCTCAAGCACATAGAAAGCGGGAATTTAGTGCATTAATGAAACCTCACGAGGGCGCTGTTGTCAATGCTGAATCTGCACTCGCGCTCTTAAAGGGCCAGTTCACCCCCAAAACCAACAATCTGTCATCATTTTTCTCCAGAAGAAAATATATTATCAGACATACTGTGAACATTTACTGACTCTGTTAAACTTCATTGGAGAAATATTAAAAAAGAAAAAAAAATTCAAAGGGGGGCTAATAATTCTGACTTCAATTGTATGTTGCACACTGTAAGTTTAAATAAAATATAAAAATGAATAGTGGGAAAATCAATTATTCATTTACCTTCAGCTTAGTCTATAGGTCTTAAACTCAACTCCTGGAGGGCTGCAGCTCTGCACAGTTTTGCTCCGACGCTATCAAACACAGCTGATCTAGTAGTGTCTTGAACACCTTGATTATTTGGATCAGCTGTGTTTGATTTGGGTTGGAGCAAAACAGAGCTGCGGCCCTCCAGGAATTAGGTTTAAGACCTATGGCTTAATCCATGATTCATCAGGGGTCACCACAGCAGTTCCAAATCTGTTTGCATTTCCTTCCCCTAAAGAAGAAATTTCGAATATTGTTGAAGCCACTGACTTCATTAGTATTTTCTTCCTACTATGAAAGTCAAATGGTTTCCAAAATGATACAAAATCAAAATAATGTTTGAGCAGAAGAAAAACATATTTAAAGATGAGTAAATGGTGAATAAATGTTTAACTTGAAATCAGTCAGTATGACAGGTAAGAACTGTTGGCAAGAGCTCAGGCCCAGATTGGCTACTTGGGAGGAACGGGAGAATTCCCAGTGGGACGGTCCATTTTTTGGCCACAAGGGTTGGTGTCCCTAGCTGCTTGCACTCTCAGCAGTCGCACTTTTACATTTGTTTATTTATTTGACCATAGCCTCACTCTTTTTATTTATTATTTTGCCACAGCTCTGCTCT